CTAGAGCCTATGACCATATCCGTATGGGAGCCATCTCCCAGTCCAATGTCAACCTGGTGGGGTCCCACTGCGGAGTCTCCATCGGTAAGCCTTCTGCTAAAGCGTCACTAGCTTTATTTATTTTATTTTTTATGGGGGTGAGTGTACCCGGCCCCCCGACTGATCTTATTCTGCTTTCAGGTGAGGATGGTCCTTCCCAGATGGCCCTCGAGGACTTGGCCATGTTCCGTGCCATTCCAACATGTACTGTGTTTTACCCCAGTGATGCAGTGTCCACAGAGAGAGCCGTTGAGCTGTCAGCCAACACCAAGGTTGGTAGGCCACCTTGTGGTAGAGTTTGTCCAGTAATCCAGTCTTCACAGTGACGGGAGTTCTCATGTGGTAACTCATCACTCTATATTCTCAGGGTATCTGTTTCATCCGTACCAGTAGACCAGAAACTGCAGTCCTCTACTCTCCAGATGAGAAGTTTGAAGTGGGCACAGCCAAGGTAATGATCAATACAATGATTTTTACTCACTTGTGCACCAAGTAGCCAGTAGCAACAAAAGATCTGAAGAAACACCAGAAAAATGACTGTATATGAATAAATGTCTACTTTACCAGGTTGTGCGGCAGTCTGCCAGTGATTGTGTAACTGTGATTGGAGCTGGTATTACTCTGCATGAGGCCCTTGCTGCTGCTGATGTGCTGGCCAGTGAAGGTAAGCTTGCATTGCCCTCTAGTGGATAGATGTAGGTATTGAAGCTGACTATTCATAACATTCATCCACATCTCTTATGTTTGGTAATTCAGGGGATACAAGTTATCAGTCTCTAGGTTAGCTAGTATGGTCTAATAAACATTTCCCAAAGTAACAATCTAATGAATACCTATAGGGAAGAACATCCGCGTAATTGACCCATTCACCATCAAGCCCTTGGATGCCGCTACCATTCTGGCCAGTGCCAGAGCCACAAAGGGACAGATCATCACTGTGGAGGACCACTACAAGGAGGGTAGGTTGTGTTCTGTTTTTGTGCTGTTGCAGGGTTCTCTAGTCATCTACCAATGAGCAGAGTTTCTTAGTGGCGGTGTTTTTTTATGCAGAGATTTTTCTCGATCTACCAGAGTCTATTAAGAGGGCATTATCATGTCATCACTTGGTGGCTTGAGCTGATGGTCTGTCTCCTCTGTCCAGGTGGTCTTGGTGAAGCAGTGCTGTCAGCAGTGGGCCAAGAGCCTGGCATCGTTGTGACCCGGCTGGCAGTGACCGGCGTTCCCCACAGCGGAAAGCCCCAAGAGATGCTCGACCTCTTTGGCATCAGCGCCAAGCACATTGCCAACGCCGTGCGTCAGACCTTTGCAAACTAAGGACGGCAGAGTACCTCTCGCTTGCCGCTCTGCTCCGTTACAACCAACTTTCTACCCAACTCGCAGCTAACTGGCCTGTTCTCGTGAAGACCTGTTAACTTCTGTGCAGTGTGCTCACCCGGTATTGTTGTCGCTACCACAGATTGTGAGGGATGGGAATAGGATTGTCAAAGCCTAGCATGTAGTACCCTCTTCTCCCGACGGGTTCCTCTGCAACATTCCTTTCTTGTATCCTCTTATGTGTTAAAGTAGCTCAGACAAAACATCACTGAATACTGTAAATGTGTTATGTTGACAGATTTTAAAAACATACAAGCAGCAGACCCGGTTCTGATCCATTCAGGCCACTACTTCTGTTTTGCGTTCGAATCCTTTCTTTACAACCATACCGCATGTCCGCTCACTTGTCTGGCATTCTTGCCTCCCTTTTTCTTCACCAAACACTGTTACCGTTTGTCATAAATCTTAGTGACTAGATCCGATTTGTAGTCTTTTGATGCTTAAACCAGTTTGCTGTGAGCAGTTTGACATCTTTTCTGTGTTCTGGCCACATGGGCATCACACAAAGTTCCTGGTGTTCCAGGGCACTTGTGTCATCCCGTTGTACTTGTGTTGTGCTGAATTAAAGATTTAACTCAGTCTTGTGTTTTGAGTTTTTTTGTTTTTTTTCCCCCCTGCTTTTGCTAGTAGTGTTTCTATGAGTGGGCAATGTCAGTGCCTCTTTGGTAAAGACTAAAATACCGTAGCTAGTGGATGGATCACAATGCAGTTTTGCACAGATATTCACGGTGCCCAAAGAATGACACCTAATGACGTAATCGATCCGCCGACTTCTGATCTAGCACTACTAGCATGTTGTAGTTTTCACCCATCTGTGTCAACATCTCCTCGATGAATTGGCATCAAATTTTGTACAGCTATTCATGGTTCCCACACAAGGTTGCTAATAACTTTGATCCCCGGACTTTTCTGCTAGCTCCACCGTGTGATTGACATTTTTGGTCTGTCGCTGTGGTTTTAAGAGAAATGTTCCCATCATGCAGTTAAATATGACATACTAGTTTCAAAACGCACCCATTCCCTTCAGCCTCATCTTTTACTGATGTCTAACAAGTGTTTGCATGCCAACACTGCAAACTGCTATGGCGAGCATGGTAAACATACCTGCAAAAATTTAGCATGCTGACAGGCGTTTAGCTGTAAGCACCATTGTACCAAAGTGCAATCTCACAAAGCTGCTAGCGTGGGTTCAGAGTCCTGGTCTGGTTTTACGGTTGAGTGTTTGCGACATGTGGCTTTTACAGATACCCGTCATACATGTTGTAGAGCTGGCAGTGTCCAGACTGTCGGACACCTTTTATTCTGAGTAAGAAAACAAGGTAGTGAAGAATGGACAGCCGGTCACAGAGATAGTAAAACTCTCTAGTGTCTCAAACCAGTCACTGGACCCGAAGTAAAAGCTTAAGTGTTTACGTTTCATGAATCATAGGCCTCTGCACCATTCTCTGCAGTGGAAATTGTTAACCCAGGGTGTTGTCACACTGAGGTTAAGGAAGGGGTTGAATGTGTGGTCAGTGGATTACTGCACGTTCCTGTCGAGGTTTAAATTGATAGTTTTTGGACACAACTATTTACCTTGGAAGAGCACGTCAGGACCTCAGTGTTTCACAGTTTACCGTTAGTTGTCCAATGTGCCATTTGGAATAGTCTGGATTCTTCCGTCTCTGCCTCATCAGCTGAGCTTCAAGTGCAGAAAAACTAAACCGACCAGAATTAATACATAAAATTGAGTTAACCGATATCATCAGAAATGTTCATATTTCAGGCCGTGTTAATCACAGAGGCTGTTGTCGAGGACATGAGAACATGCACACACATGCTGACAGATTTAGTCTGAGTATGTGTGGTTAGTTACTGAGCAAATAAAGTGGGTTTGTCAGCAGGTTTCACCCCACAGCGAAAATCCCAGTTTGGCTCAACACTCAGCCAGTGGCACCTGCTTGGCTCAGCTGTGAGTGTGTGGGGATGTACAAACTCCAGACTACATGTGTGAGCATCACAGCGTATGTGCGTACAGATAATATTGTGTGTAGGTAAAGATGGACGTGTTTATTTTCATACATAGATGCTAGCGTTTGACTCCGACCTGAACTTTCTACCAACCCTGTTTCTTGTTTGGGAAAGGCCGAAGGTCAGTCTGATTCAGTCAGGAGAAAAACACAGACATGACAGGATCACAAATTCATGTGTCATAATGTCTGACTAGAATCATATTAGTCATAATATGATTCTAACATCGATTCTAACATAGTCATAACATAGAGTCATATGAAACTTATTGTGTTGAAGTTTCTATTTTATGCCTTCCACCAAATGTTAGCAGACAGTGAGGAGACAAGGAGGAGCAGGGCGGGTCTGTGTATTTTATGGTGCGATGAACAAGCCTTCATTAACAATGTGAGAGTTTATTTTTTGACCTCTCCGCCTCCGAGATATTCCTTCCCTTCTTCCTCTCATTTCAGCATTCACTCTGAGTTGGGGGCATGTGCACTGTGGTTTAGTATTGCTTTTGGCTGACTCACAACAGAGAAGGTGCTCCACAGCTTTTGCTACAAGTCTTTACAGTGATGTATCCTCTCGTGTAAACTCTCAGGTCAACCGTTACTCACTGAGTTTCTTCCCTTTGGCATTACCATCTGAACTCTCTGTGGATTTGCTTCATCCTCGCTTCAGCCCTGAAGACCTAAACATTTTGGACTTCTCTCTCCAAGTGAAACAGCTTTAACTGATACAACTTTTAACAATGCAAATGCCAAGGACATGGATCACGTTCATTTGCCTCTGTGGCACAGCTTTATCAGGACAAGGCCGTAACTCTTTGCATGACATGGATGCATACTTGGAAACCTCTTTTGAGACACCTGACTTAGAAACAGCAGCAGTTCATCCACCAGGAATTGATACAGGAGTGACCTTGTTGGATACATATGCTTCAAGTGTAGCCCTCCCTTCTGGTAAGATGAGAGTTCTAACCTTTCAAATGCTGCCTGTTTCTGTCTGCATGATCTTGGCTAATAAATGCTTTAATAACTGAAATACTTTTACATAACTAAGCATACAATGCTGAGTGAAAAGCTCAGTTATTATTTTGATTTCTTTATGTCTATTAATTGTCTTTTTCTGCTCGGCTTTGTGAATGGTGAAGAAGAGACTGAGGATGAACGTCTCCAAATGGAGGCAGAGAAGGAGCGGGAGCATCAAGGAGTTGAGTTCAGAAAGCTGGAGGCTGGTAGAAGAAGAAGAGGTGCTTGGGGGAAAAGGAAACACGCAGCTACTGTGGAGGCCACTGCGTATAGAATAGTATGGCACTTGTTCTACCATGTGGACACAGAAATACATATTTATGAATAAATAAAAATGGGGCATCCACATACGTTGATTTGTTCCTTTGTTGAAACGTGTCAGTGACTTCCGGATGCTTATTGCAGGCAGGACTTGGGCAACCCCTGACGGGCTGGAGAAAGCCTGTAAAAGGAGAGGAGGAAACCAGCGCTCTTATTGCTGCACTTAAGGAGCTTCATGCTGATAAACAACGGCTTATGGATCAAGGGAAAGCACAAGAGGAGGAGGGAGAAGAAGAAGATGACGATGATGACGACGATGACGACGATGACGACGATGATGATGATGATGACGATGATGACGAGGAGGAGGAGGAAGAGGTTTGATTTTTGTTGTTTTTACTTCAGTTAATTGAATCATTCATGAAGCAATTGTTTGTCATATCATTTATTATTTAATCTTTTGTGTCAGGAAGAGGAAGAGGAGGAGGAGGAGGAGGAGGAGGAGGAGGAAGAAGAAGAAGAAGTAGTAGTGGAAGAGGAAGAGGAAGAAGAAGAGGAAACTGAGGCTCCCAGCAATCAAACAGAAACTCACTCCAGCACTACAGAGTCTCCTCTCAGCGAGTGTCAGACTGCTGACAGAGAAATCAGCTGCAGGGGCGTCGGCATGACTCTCCTGCCAATCATCCACAACCCACTAGCCACAAATCTGGACATGGCAGGTGTGTGTGTGTGTGCGTGTGTGCGTGTGTTGTGGTGGCGGCGGCGGATGCATCACATGAAATAAGCCATGTTGGGGGGATGGTGCAAATTAGAGTGAACTCTATAAAAACTAATATAGCAGTGATATTGATTACAATTGAACTGGTTTATTATTAAATCAGCTTATTCATTAAGTTTTCCAGTAGTTCTAATTCCAACTTTGATGCCACTAGCCATGAATTCTTCTTCTTTTAACAATTATAACCACTTAGTACATAGTATTTGGCAAGAACAGTATAGGTTAAGATGGTGAACCATTAAACTGAAAACTAAAATAACGAAGTACATTGACTGATTATATTGTTTGTATCAAAACAAAAGTTCCAGCACAGATATGTCAACATTATGTGACCTGTGAGTCAAGTGATTTTGACGCTCATGTGAAATGGCTGTACAAGCCATATTATATGCTTCTTCTACATATATGTGTACGTATATACGTATATATACAGTATATAACATACCATGTGATTTATTTTCAAAGAGAATAACATCAGAATCGTCAGTCCACACGTTTTCTCTGGTGTGCCGAACCTGGACACACTGGACCTGAGCAAAAACAAACTGGATGATGAGTCGTTCAGCCAACACCCCCTGTCGGTGAGTAACACCTCTCTTCTTCACTGTCGGTCTCAACAGTCCAGTCTAATAGCCTCTTCTGCAAGTACATCACACCCATACAGTTGTACTCTGCATGTTTAATTGTGCTTGAATGGACATCTCACTACTATGTTCGGGTTCAATTGAAGGTACGTGTTACATAGTGTACGTATGATACAAATGCAAAAGGGCACACAGTGTCACATTGATGTTATGCAACCCAAAACCAGACTCATCCAATGAAATCAAACTGCAGAGCTTCTGCAGTGCCAGCAGTCGCAAACCCGCAGCTCCAGACCAGAAGTACAAGTCCAGCCGGCTCTGCTCTACCAACGGGCAAGGGAGTGTTACAACTGTTGTCTTTTCTGTTTTGAATGAATGTATTTGTCCAAAAGAGAAAAACCAAAGAAGGAGAGGCAAAGCCCAGAGGAAGCTTTAAACTTAAGTGTTAATAAAATCAGTTAACACTTGCTCTCTTGTCTGATGGTCAAGTGTCTGAAAAAGCTTTTTTATGCCAAGATAGATAAAAAAAATTATACATTTGTTCAAAACCTCTTGTAGCTAATATATTATGATTAAGAGCTATGAGCTGATTTGCAATTCTATTTTTAGGAACAGATAATATAAAACACGGTCTTCAGACCATTAATATAGCAGCAGACAACTATTTACTATGTAAAGATACGGTGTAGTAACGTCTACCTGAGCAGAGAATGAAGTCACTCTCCCTCTGCTCGTGTTCTTATCTGACCTTCTCCTTGCTTTGGTGACATAGCCATGCCAGCCCGCACATGCTTTTAGTGCATGTTTATGCATGTGAGCCTGCCCCACCGGTTAGTTCAGGGCCGCCACTCTGCACTGCTCTCATATGGCGGTTACAGTTGATAACACTGTCTCCAACACATCGTAGAATCCAAGCACCCATCCTCCGATTCCCCCTCAAGTAAACACTATTAACTCTGTGAGCACTTTTGACATAGTTTGCGCGCGATTTGCACCATTAGCTACGAGCCGTCACTGTGTTGAGAGGCAATCAAAAATACTCCCAATCTGGTATTATGCACCTTTAAGTGTTAAATATCAATCCTCAACAAAGATATATAGCAAAAAGCAGGCAACACTGACATGTCTTCACCTGCAGGTTTAAACTGCAGATACTATTATTCTCCTTTCCTATGGGTGGCGTAGGTAAGCCTGTGTAGATTTGGTCTGACTCAAAAAAAGCTCCTTCTTGTGAAGAATATGCAGCCTGCTGAATGTGAATGGCTTTTATAACACACTTTGCATCTAATTAAAATAAAAAGCAGGCTGTATCCTGTATCATTACAGTAATAAAAGAGCATTGAAAATTGCATTAACTAATCCTTTCTAAGAATAAGCTCTGGTCTAACCTCTAAATGACCACAGGCCAAACTCAGATCCTGACCACACCGAGGCAGCCCGCCACACTCTGACCAATCATTATGCTCCACCACCAGTATAGTCTCCCACGATTGGCTGGTCAGACCTGTTGGAAAACAGCTGCAGCAAAATGACGTGGAAAATAAAAGTTTTTTTTTTCATTTTTTGCTCACATCCACAGTAATGACAGAGGACTGATGAACTGGCTTGAAGAATCCTGCGAAAGATTCAGTCCACTGCTTTTAGTTGACACAGATCAACCACAATGGCTCTAACTGAAGAGCCACTGCAGCGTGGCTTTGCTAAAAATACAACATGATAGATGACATGGAAGAGATGCATAGATTTGGTGTATTTCTGTGAACTCTGTGATTGTGACCTTCCCGGCAAGTTGGGATAGAAAATTATGGATTATGAAGTTTCACCCCTCTCTTTGCTTCGTGTCATGCAGAACTTGACCTTTCTGAAGAAGCTGAACCTAGATGGCAACCAGTTTACCAGCATCCCAGCACTGCCGCCATCTCTGGAGGAGCTCAAGATTAGCAACAACAAGCTCAGTGCACTCAGCCCTCACAGCTTCAAAGGTAGGAGTTGTGTCTGTGTACATGGAAGAGAAACGTCTTGTATGGAAAATAATGTAATTTAGTATTCCCCTCTAGGTTTGATGAACCTGTTGAATCTGGAGCTTAAGGAGAACACTCTCCATGAGGGCAGTGTGTCACCTCTAGCCTTCAGACCGCTAGAGAGACTTCTGGGCCTCCAGTTGGACAACAACCGCTTCCGTTCCCTCCCCCTGGGCCTCCCCCCCTCTCTTCAGGTGCACTGATATCACTTTACTGAATCTTGTGGGCAAAATCCTTCTCCTTAAAGTGTTAGGTTCAGCCAAAGGAGGCAGCTGGGATTCAGAATAGTACTCAGGGTCTATCAGAGAGCCAGACACTGACATGAAGACAATCATTTATGTCCCTGTCTTTCTGTCTTTCTTTTTGCGTAGGAGCTGGAGATGAATGGAAATCTGATTGAAGAGGTGACAGAGGAGGCAGTGAGGGGCTATGTCCATTTGAGAGTGCTGGAACTGAGTCACAACCTGCTGCATGAGCAAGGCATCACTACCCACGCCTGGAATCATCTCAAGTACGTCCATCCATCCATCCATCCATCCATCCATCCATCTATCTATCTATCATCCATCCATCCATCCATCCGTCCGTCCATCCATCCATCCATCCATCCATCCATAGCTACTGATTTAAAAAATAATGATCTGAAGTTCCTCCATCAGCCACAAGAGGGTAGACTGGTATTGTTTGAAATTCTGAACACTTATTATCATTTCACACACAAATGTGTGAAAAATCTGTACTTTGTGATTAACAATGTGTTTAAAATCTGTACTTTTTTCAGTGTCTTTGGCTGACGTTTAGAATGATCAGCTTTTTATCTTTCTTTCCTTCTTTCTTTCTTTCCTTCTTTCTTTCTTTCTTTCTTTCTTTCTGTCTCCCCCCCCCCACACACACATACCACACATATCACAGAAGTTATGACAGCTGACCTTGTGTACTTAGATGAGCAGGCTTGTGAGGGACAGCTTGAGGGCAACTGCGTGCCTGTATGTGTCTGTTTGTGTACGTATGTCTGAATGTGTGTCTATGGTGGTGGTGGTGTGTGTGTGTGTGTGTGCGCGTGCCTGTTGTTTAAATATAGTGAATTCCAGTGGCGTTGTTTTCTTTGCTCCCTTGGATCCTTGTGAACCACAGTGGGAGTTTCAGGGAAAACTGATGGAAAAAATTCTTGAAGAAAGACGGGAAATTCAACTTGGAGTTTCACTGTATGAATGGATGACTATGTGAAAGTCTACGTAGAAATCTGAAATTGGGAAAATAAATTCAGGGGAAGTTTTGACTGAAGAAATTACGAGATGTTTTAATCAAAAATGGAAACTGTAAAACACAAAATCTTGTCCAAAGAGGGACAGAGAGATAATGTGAAGAGAGAAAGAGTTTTGAGTGAAGTTAAAATGGAGCTAGGCAGCACTCCGAGCCCTCGCTTGACTTCTGACTAGAATCTATTTGACACCTGACACTTGACCTCATTAGTGGCGACAGCAGCGGTCTTCCCATTGGCACTGCGGGCTTATTAGCTGGTCCTCCATCTTAAAAGCTTTCTTCAGCACGGCATAGACAAGAGAGTGGAAACAAATTCAGCTTGAGACTGAACTCCGCTACCACAGCAGGTGCTGAGACCTTAAAGGGCAGAGGTTATTAACCATGAAACAAGACTCCTGCCTGTGGTTGGAATCTATTTTATTCTGCAGACCTTTAATAATTAAATCCACACTGAGGTACTTGTAGAGAAATGTATTCATCATGTACCTCTGCAGAGGTGTGTGGAAAAATATACAGAGAGGGACTGACGCAGAGTGAAAAGTAAATTGCTTAACGATAAAGTAAACTGCAGTGTGCTGGTTCTGGTTAGTGGAGCGCCTCTATTCCATGTCATGGAGTCCGTGTTATTGCTGCCTCCTGCTGGGCTTCAGTGATTAGAGGCACCAGTGAGGGTTACAGGGAGCTGGGGAGGGCAGTTTGTACTTTAGATATACGTATCTCAGATTTACTGTGTCCCAGATCCCATTTATTTGTACTCTGTAAACTTATCCCAGATTAGTTTGTGTTCCTCTGGGTGTGTTTACATTTGCTGCCAACGTGTGACCATCCTGTAAACATACGCACATGCTTAAGTGGTGTAATTAATTGTACCTCAGTAATGTTCCTCAATACAGCTTTTAGGTTCTTGAACTTAACTTAAGTGTTACCATTATGGTACTTTATACTTTTTAATTTATTAAATTATTGTACTTTTTATTCCACTTTAGCTTTACTAGTTATTTTGTTTTGACTATTGATACATACTATACTTTAACCACAGCCCTAGGATTAGGGTTTAAAGTGTAGTATGTTAAAAAAAGTTCCTTTTTTATAATTAGATAATAAAAATATAATATCATGGCTGACATTTTCTGCCTATTAAGTACTTCCACTTTTAAAACTTGAAGTATATTTTGCTGGCAATACTTTAAAATGCCTCTCCTCAGGGGCCCAATCAGCTTTCATCCTTAGACACACAGATAAACAAGCACACACACACACACACACACACACACACACACACACACACACACACACACACACACACAC